CGGCCATGCCACCCAAGCCACTAACTGGGTCATGGGGAGCCCAGAACCTGGGGTCACCCAGCACCTGAACCTGCTCCTCCAGTTCTTTATCTTCTGAATTGAGCAAAGCCCTTAAAGAGGATGGGGGGGTGAACTAGGGGGCTCTCCAAGCAGGGTGTCAGTGAGTGGGACCTGTCCCCATGGGATGTAGGGCGGGTACACACTGCAGGTGATTCCATTTTTCCTTTCTGCTGGGCAGCGGGGCTGAAGGTTGTGCCCATGCAGGGTACTGGGTGTGTGGGTGTTCAGTTTGTGTCTCCTACTGGCACCTCTAGGAAAGTGGGTGCTTCCAGGAGGGAGGGAGACCGAGTCCCTGTCCTCCCTCACCTGTCTCTAACTTTGAGGATCGGGTGCTTCCTTCCCTTTCTGTCTTCCCAAATCCTGTCCCCAGACCCTCTGCCAACCTCCTCGGTGCTCTGCTGCCCTTGGCTGCTATGCCCACTGCCTCTTGCAGCTCAGGGAGGTGTCGCTGGCCGTGCAGACAGCTTGGGGACCCATGGAGGGAGGCCAGGGTAGATGGCAGCCTTTACTCGAGCTGCTCCTTCTGGGTCTGGCGGGGCCCAGAGCCACTCCCCGAGGTTAGCAGAAGCAAGGGTTTTGCTGGGGTTGCACAGGTTGTGGGGGGCGCTTCCTCTTTCTCTTTGCAGCTTTCTAAAAAAACCACCGGTTCCCTGAAGGGCTGTGGGAGGGAAGACTGAGTTTCAGTTTCTGTGGCAGGGAAGCAGGGAGACGGCCACTTCCTCCCCCCTCCCTGTCATCCTGTGAGTCAGCAGGGGACCGGCAGGGCCGCCTCTCTGCCCTCAGGACTGCCTGCTTGTCCTCAGCTGGGAGCTCAGAGCAGCTGGAAGTAACTTCTCCCTGCAGGAGGTCCCCTGGACTACCCAGCCTGCCTAGTGAAGAAAGGGCTGCCCCTTGCCTCTGCGGAGGGCCTGCTTACCCTAGTCCAAGGGCCCCTGCCTCCCCATTTGTGTCCCAGGCATCTGAGCCCTCCTGTCTGCTGCCGGCTCCTACCGTCCCCAGCCTGGGGGGTGGAGACCCCATCCGCCTGTAGCAAGACCAGGGAGTCCTCAGGAACCCGCTAGTGTGCGGTGGTGGCCGGCAGGTAGAGCCACATGGAGGGGACTGGAGCCAGACTCCTGGGTGCAGGGGGGTGGCGCAGGCTGGCGGACAGTGGACAGCGGGTGGGGAGACTCCAGCACCATGCCTGGCGGGCACAGTGGTGCTGCGGGGGACCTCCCTGGGGGATACCTGGTGTACCCTGGCTAAGTGTCTGCAGACAGGACTTCCCTGGCAGTGCCCAGCCCCACCTGTGTGGGGAAACTGGCTTCTCCTGGTTCTGAGTTTGCAGTTCCGGCTGTGCTGGGTCCTGGCTGCTGCTCACTGTCGGCTGCCAGGCCTGAGGGCTGTGGGGCAGGCTGCGTGGGGTGGGGGTGCCTCGACCCACGATGATTCGAATGCTGCACTTTGCTTTTTCTGTGGATCGGTCCCACCCCCACCCAAGTCCCCTCCTTCTGTCCACGCCCCTCCTGACTACTCAGGAGGGCTGGGGCTGGGGCTGGGGCTGGGCTCAGGCTCCCACCAAGGCCAGGATTCAGCCTGGGCAGGCGGCAGTGGCTTGGCCAGATGGGGCTGGGAGCTGCGCCAGACCGGGGGTCTCAGAGCAGCGGATGTGACTGTGCGCCAGAAGGAAGTCTAGTCCCAGGATGTCACAATTTCCTGCGGTGAGCAAGCATTTCTGGGGCACAGGAGATAAGTGTTGGGCGGGGTGCTCCCGAAGCTGAAGCTCCGGCCCCTTTTCTGCCTGGGCTCCTCCACACCCTAGACTTGGGTTATGCAGGCATCTAGAGTGGGTGTGACCACCCTTGCGGTGCTGCCCCCGACCCTCACTCCCTGAGCCCTAAGGAAGGGGCTGGGCTTCTGGTGCATCCGCCCACCTTTTCTGCACAGGTTGGGGTCTCAGGAGCAGCCCCTCTCTTCACAGTGGAGAGGGGCTGGGGGAAAGTGGTGTTTTTATACCAAATATGTGGGCTTCCTGGGTGTCAGAGCTGGGCCATCACCTTTTCCAACTCCCTCACTTAACAGAGAAGGAAACTGAGGTAGGACGGGATGGGAGGCGTTGCTTACAGTCAGGACTTGGCACTGTCCTACAAAGATGGGAAAATTGGTCCCACACTCCTCTCCAGAAAATGCGCCCCACCCTACCTCTGTTCTCCAGGGCTGGGCCACTTGTAAGAGCCCCCAGGACTGCCCCGGGCTGGTCCCATCTCTCCGGTCCTTCAGCCTGGGGGTGTGTCTGCCTCTTTCCCCATCCGGAGATCGGCGCTGGTGCCAGCAGCACAGTGGGTCCCAGCCAGGGGTGGCATGGCCTTGGGAGGGGAGTGTTGGCTGGGCAGTCCGGGCTGTGCTGGGGTTGGGGGAGCAGGAGACCCTCCCTGGGACAGCGTCCTCCATCCTCAGCCCTGGTCACAGCTGGGGCGGGACAGGCGGCACTCAGCGGAGCCTTGAGAGGGGCCGCTTCCTGGGCTGGCTGCGGGATTGGGGGTGCTGTGCACTGACCGTCCGCAGCCAGGCGTGTGCCCACCCTCTCGCCTGCCTTGCATCCCGCTGCCATCAACGGGTCATTGTGTCAGACCCTACGCGTGCTGCTCAGGGCGTAGGCGACGTCTGCAGGGGGCCACAGGACAGCCGTGGGAAAGTGGTTGATTCTGTCTGGTGGTGACAGGGAAGGCTTCCTGGGGGAAGTACGTTTCACTTTCCCTAAAGCAGCCGGTACGTGTTGGCCAGGCAGCAGGGTGGATCCTGGCATGCCAGGTGCCAGGCTTCAGAGAAGACGTGGGAGCTGGGGGGACGTGATAAGTCTGATGGGGTGTGGGGGCAGGTTCTGAAAAGCACGGGGTGCTGACTCCCCAGGGGTGTGGTCCACTCTGAGTTTCAGAAGGATCCTGCCTGTTTGGTGACCTTACCAGAGCTCAAGCCTGGCAGCCCCACCCTCACCCCGAGCTTCCTCTGCCTGCCTACCTCTTGGTGCCTGTTCCCTGGACACTGCTCGCCTGATGCCCTCTCTGCACCCTGGTCCCGGAGGAGGCCAGCCGGGAGTTTTCCCTGCGGGGCCCTAGGTGGGGCTGTCGTCTTGGAGCTGTCCCTAGAGTGGGCTCAGAGTGGCATCATCCCCTGGCTGCCAGGCCTAAGGAGTCAGCCTACTCAGCACCGAGGCCCACTGCCCATGATCATCCGTGCCAGTCTGGCATGGTCTCAGGGTGTGGAAGGAAGGATGCCTGAGCTTGTTGGTCATGCCTTAAAGAAGCAGGAAGTGTCCTGAGCCCCCACCTCTGCCCCGGATCCCTCTCCAGGGCCCCCTCCACACTCAAAGTTCTGTAGTTGAAGGATTTGGGCAACCAAAGGCCCTGATCCAGTATGTAGAGCAAAAGGGGTGCTGCCCTGTGAACTCAGAGGGGGCCCCACACCTGCCCCCAGCCTCTGGTTCACCCCATGATGGTTCCTTGGCCCCTCTGGGTGCCCAGGTCTCTGAAGAGCACAGTTTGTGAAGTGCGCAGATGCTGACCAAGTTTCTCTCTGGCCTGGACTCTCCAGTCTGTCTCCCTGATAGGGAGCCTTCCAGCCCTGAGTGTGCCCCAGCTTTAGGGAGGATGAGGGGCACCCGTTTCCCTAGGAGATCTCAGGCCCGGGAGCTAGAGTGACTTGAGTCCCAGCTGCTCCCCTTCCTGGCTGCGGGAGCTTGGGCAGGGTCCTTAGCTCCTCTGAGCGTCCAGTCCGTTCCCCACTCAGAAGCTGAGGCCGTGATGTCTGCCTCCAGGAGGTGTTGAGGACAAAGGGAGGATGCGCAGGGAGGCCCAGCAAGGCCTGTGCACCTAAGGACTTGACCCCACCGTGCCCTGGCGGTCCTCAGGGTTCTGCCTAAGGAGGGCGGCCGTGTGTCCTGCTGTGCCCATGCAGCGTGAGCAGGACTTCCCCAGGACAGAGGGGGTGCCACCGAGTGATTCCCTTTCAGTGCTTCGTTTCATGTTGGGTGGATTTCACCTCAATAAGTTACTTAACGCGCCAAAGCAGCAGCAGTGAAAACACTTCCAGGCCCTAAATATCTGGCTTTTTCAAATTAAAAAGAAATCTTAGAAGACAGCCACCAATTCCTGGTTTTTTTGTTTGTTTTGGTTAATCCTGACCTGAGGATATTTTTCCATTGATTTTAGGTAGAGTGGAAGGGAAGGAGGGAGGGAGAGAGAAAGAGAAACATCAATGTGAGAGAGACACATCAATTGATTGCCTCCCACGTGACCCAGGTACATGCCCTTCACTGGGAATCGAACCTGAGACCCCTCGGTCCAAAGGCTGACCCTCTAACTGTGGAACCAGACCAGCCTGGGCAATTCTTGTTTTAGTTTTTTCTTAAAGTTAAATGTTTCTAGCCCTGGCTGGTTTTGCTCAGTGGTTAGAGCATCAGCCTGCGGTCCAGAGAGACCCGGGTTCGGTTTCCGCTAAGGGCACGTACCTCGGTTGCAGTTTGTCCCTGACCCTGATTGGTCGTGTGGGTGGCAGCCACTCGATGTGTCCCTTTCACGTCAATGTTTCTCTCTCTTCCTCTCTCTTCCTCCCACTCTATCTGAACAAAGAATGGAAAAATATCCTCGGGTAAGGATTAAAAAAAAAAAAAGTTAAACGTTTCTAATAAAGATGTTTTGGTTTCCAGCCCAGGGTGGGAGTTTCTAGGTAAACACCCAGAGGCAGCAGTCCCTGGCTGTCTGGGACATAAGCACCCACCTCACCACCAAAGGGACCCTAACTCCAAGGGAGGAGGAGGAGGAGGAGGACATACCTCCTTTAATTCCTAATCCATGAGGCCAGTGGAATTATCCCCACTTTGTAGGTGGGAAGACTGAGGTCAGGAAGGTGTTAAGGTGCATGGTTCTGACATGCCCCTTGACCCTGCCCTTCCTTTCTTACAGGCGTGTAGGCTGTGAGCACAGGGAGCTGCCCTGACCTGGAGCCAGCTGCCCATCTCCCCACCTGTGTCCGCATGCGTGTGTCCACCTCGCCACACGGCTGGAGCTTGACCACAGCGCATCTGCACAGAGCGAGGAAAGGACTGGAACATGCTCTAAAGACTCTGCAACAGCCCCAGGAAGCTGTGAGCTGAGCCCAGGCTCTGAAGGTAGGAAGCTGGGTACCCGGGAGGGTGGACCACGGCACTGGCTACTTCGCTGTTTGCTTTTTAGCAAATACGTAGTGTTGCCACCTGTGGGCTGGCTCTGTTCTGGCAGTGGAGATGCAGCAGTGAAGATGAGGCAGCTGCTTTGGGCAGTTTGGGAGGGCTTCTCGGAGGAGGTGGCCCTCAAACTGGGACCAGAATGCTGAGAAGGAGCTGCCTACTCTGTTGTGTGATGTTCTGATCCGGGAATGGAGGGGCCAGCACCGGCAGAGGCCCAACATTTATGGAGCACCTACTTGAGACATTTTATAAACAGCTTTATCGAGATATAATTCATATGAGATTCCTCCCCTTGAAGTGTGCAATTCAGTGGTTTTTAGTATATCACAGGCATGTATGATTATCACCACAGTCAACTTCAGAACATTTTCATCACCTGGGAATGTAACCCACACCCTTCGGCTGTCACCTCCCAGCCCTGAGCAAGGACTCATCTTTTTGTCACTAGATTGGCCTAGGAGGATTTGTTTTTTTCCTTTATTGATTTTAGAGAGAGAGGAAGGAAGAGAAAGATAGAAACATCGATGAGAGAGAACATCAATTGGCCGCCTCCTGCATGCCCCCCACTGGGGATTTGGCCCACAACTTGGGTGTATGTGCCCTGACCTGGAAATGAACTGGCGACCTCTTGGTGCATGGGTCGACGCTCAACCACTGAGCCACACCGGCTGGGCATTAACTGCACAAATTTAAAAAAAAAACAAAAGGAACATTCTTCTCTCAAGGACACACTTTGACTTAGATGTGCACTGGCATAATATTCATTCAGCCACTCATTCATTCATGCTACACGTATTTATTGAGCACCTACTGTATATTCACTGTAAACACCATGGGTGAAACAGTGTTACCAAATTTTCACCCTCGTGGTGCTTCTATTCTTAGAGACCACTAGCCCCACAATTTGAACCCACCTGCCTGTAATCCATGCTATTCCAGGGCAGAGAAGAGAAGTAGCTGTTGTGTGTATTACCGTCGTATTGTCTCTGAGGTCACGGACCTCTCAATCCTTCTCCAAAGATCATTTCAAAACAGGAATAAGTGTCAGCTTTTAGAAAATCACCCACACATGAAGCAATTAGTTGGTTCTTTGCTCCGAGAAAGAATGCAGCTTCTCTTCACTCAAGGGGACCTGGGAACCACACACACTTTTCTGCAGTGTAAGTGGCAACAGGAAAGGTTTGTTGAAGGAGGCGTTGAGGAGGTTCACCACTAGAATTCCGAACAGGATCCACAGGTACAAGCTTCCTGTTTTGTTAGATACGTCTAAAGGCGCCGGGATTGTGATTTTCTAGTGGCTTCAATGCTTATTAATCCACCTTTGACCGGCGGTAGAAAGAAGCCGATGAATACATTCCTCATCCTCTTTCTGATGCACTGCCCTGAACACAGTCATTTATAATACCTCTCACGAGACAGAGATAATCCCAGGAGACTGAGCAATTTGTGCTTAGTACCCAGCTGCTGGCAGGTTGAAAACACATCTTCCTGGTTCTCGCTCCTTCCTGGCCACTCTCCTTCCCCTTATTTCTGCTGCTGGGACTGCATTCCTCAGTGAAGTCGGAGCACTTCATCCTTGGCTTCGGGCTCTGCTCCCTGAGGAAACCAGGCATAGAGGGGAGGTGATCCAAGTGGGTTGCCCCACCTGTGAGGATTTTTATCTGGATGGACTCCTGCGGCACGTGGCCTCTGTGTGTGGCTTGTCACCGGGCACAGCATCCTCAAGGTGCTTCTCTCCGTTGGTGCCGAGTACTGATCCAGCGCGTGGCCGCAATGCTCATGGGCACCCGGGCGTCTCCCCTTGGGCGCAATGAGCGCATTGCCGGGACCATTCCTGCACAGGTTTCTGTGGACATACTGCCTGTGTGTGTCATGTTCACCTCCGATGCTCAGGAGGGAGGAAGTTAGTCCCTCCTCGAAGGTGAGGATGCGAGTGACCCGTGGTCAAGTGCAGGCCCCCCACTGGGGATTTGGCCCTCAACCTGGGCATATGTCTTGATTGGGAATCGAACCGGCGACCTCTTGGTGCATGGGTCAATGCTCAACCACTGAGCCACACCGGCCGGGCTCCAGTCTGTGCTTTTAACCACGATCCCCCAGCACCTCCTGCAGGGGTTGGCAGGTGGGAGACAGTGAGGGGCCCACGGCAGCCAGGTGGGCAGGAGTGGGCAAGGAGGAGACAAAGCCACGCAGGGCCCAGAGTGCCCAGTGAGAGTCTGGACTGTATTTTAAGTGAGAACAGGAAGTCCTGAGACTGTTGAGCAGGGGGTGACATGTGAGATGTGTGCCTTTATTTTATTTTATTTTATTTTATTTTATCCTCACCCGAGGACATTTTTTCCATTTTTTGTTCAGGTAGAGTGGGAGGAAGAAAGAGAGAGAGAAACATCGACGTGAAAGGGACACATCGAGTGGCTGCCACCCGCACAACCGACCAGGGCCGGGGACAAACTGCAACCGAGGTACGCGCCCTTAGCGGGAACCGAACCCCGGTCTCTCAGGACCGCAGGCCGACGTTCTAACCGCTGAGCCAAACCGGCCAGGGCGAGATGTGTGCCTTTAAAAGGTGACGTCTGCTGCTGTGTGCAGAATGGCCATGGGGTGGGGGCCTGAGTCAGTCTGGGGCATTGCGCTCCGTGGAATCTTTGCAGTCACCGGGAAAGGGGGCGCTGTCTGCGTGTGCTGACCGGAGGGGTGCGCACACCGTGGGAAGGGCGTCAGCGTGGGAAGGACGGACCTGGGTCCTGCTCCAGGTGCAGGGGGCAGCTGGAAGGACTTGCACACAGCTCCTTCCAGGATGGGGACGGGCAGGCCATGAGCTCACTCTGCTCTCTGTAGTCCTCCGAGTCTGCTGTATTTCCTTTCTTTCTGTTGTTGTTGTTGCAATGAACGTGTATCATTTGTATCATTAAAATAGAATCTTTTTCTTCCAGGAAAAGAAAACAGTACGAGACAGGTGGCAGTTTCAGTTCCCTTTGAAAAAGGAACGGAGCAGCCTTGGGGGACAGGACAGGTGGCTTTCTAGTCTGAGGATGAGGCTGAGCTGCCACTTCTTCCCTCCCGGCCCGGCCGATCACCAGGCTGCTCCCAGCCTCTTGTCCTCCCCCAAGCCCTGCCCGAGGACAAAGGCAAGGCCCGCCCCATCCTGCTCCTCTCTGCCTGTGGTCCTTGCCTGAGCAGAGACCGGAAATGGACCGAGGTGGAGAGTCGGGGGCTTCCTGAACTTACCGGTTTGGCCTACAAATGTAGGGGGACGGAAACAGACCTTGAACAGACCTTGCTGTATCCCCCTCAGCCGAATTCAGTCTCTGCCACGTGCTCTGGTGTCCGGAGTTAGGTTAGAGCCAACTTTTAGCAGGTTGTTCTCAGCCTGTGTTGGCACCTGGGTCCCCATGGTCCCTCCGGCTCTCAACACACCTGTGTCCCCCTCCCCGTCTCCTTTCCAGCCGCCCTGCCCCCCTGCCTGCCATGGCTTCTGCAGACAAGAATGGCGAGAGGGTCTCCTCAGTATCCAGCAGCCGCCTGCAGAGCCGGAAGCCGCCCAACCTGTCCATCACCATCCCACCGCTCGAGACCCCGGCCCCTGACGAGCAGACCAGCATGCTGCCCCAGGTGAGGGCGGCCTGGGGCTCTCCGCCCTGCCGCGGGTGCCAGATGTGCCCACATGGCACCTTTCGGGCCATTCCACTTCTGGGGGAGGCTCCTTCCCCAGCGCTGGTGCTCACGGAGCCCCGGACTTGGTCCTGTACCCCTCCTTCCGGGCCCCAAACATCACGGGGAGTAGGCCCTGAACTCAGGAGCCCCATGCCTCAGCGGCCTAGGACAAATATGAAACACTGTCCTTGAGAACGGGCTTGTGGGTTCCTCCTGGGACTTGGCTGGTTCCATCTCCTCGCCGCGGCCCTTCTGAGGGGTGGGGGGTGGGCTGTCTGGGGCTGGGGTGAAGGGGCACACGCGGCCTCAGCATCAGCAGCCTGACCTCACAACACCTGGCTCCTCTTGAGAGCATGGAAATGAACTGGCGTCGCCAACAGGCTGGACCGCTGGTCCATAAAGAGCTCATTGAACAAGGCTCGAAACAGCGTGGGCTCCAGCCAGCCTGGGACATAAAGGGGCCTGTGTTGGTGGCGCCCACTCGCCCCGAGGGCTCCTTCAGACGTACAGAGGCAGGCCGGGACGTCGTGGTGTGACAAAGGAGCAGGGAATGAGGAGGCAGGGCAATGCATGCGGGGGTTTCCTGGAAAACATTAGAAAATGTTTACGTTCAGAAGGACAGCTGCTCGGGGGTGTAAATAGGGCTTGAGGTTTGTTCCCTTCGAGTTTTCACGTTGGGAGCCAGAGGAGCCGCGGCCCAGGCTCCGGGCTCACGCGGTCGCTGCACGGCGCGCCCACCCTCTGCTGCCTCCCGCCTCCCACAGCGGCCCAGGAACCCGGCCTACCTGAAGAGCGTCAGCCTGCAGGAGCCACGGGGACGATGGCAGGAGGGCGCGGACAAGCGCCCCGGCTTCCGCCGCCAGGCCTCCCTGTCTCAGAGCATCCGCAAGTGAGCACACCGCCTGCCCCGCCCGGCCACCCCCAGCAGCCCCGTGAATCGGGGCCTGTCCCTGTGTCCCCTTCTGGGTTCTGGAAGGCGTAGGCAGGCATGGAGAGCAGCCTCTCCCGGCAGGGCTGAATGGGACAATCTAACGCTGCCGCAGGTAGGGAGCTGAGGCCCAGGGGGTGTGTGCCGTACATCAAGTCAGGCGGATTCTGAGGCGGTTCAGGAGCTGGGGGTGGGCCATGGCTGCTCAGAGTGGCTTCCAGAGGCCGTCCCAGCGCAGCTCCTCGTACTCGGAACATTATTCCACCTCTGCTCACCTGGCCATTGGGTACCAAACCAGGGGCTCCAGGGGGAACTGATCTACCCCTGCACACATGTGCTCTGTCACCTCACATCACCCCCTGCACACACACGGTCGGCTCGTCACCCCCTGCACACACACGGTCGGCTCGTCACCCCCTGCACACACACGGTCAGCTCTCGTCACCCCCCTGCACACACACGGTCAGCTCTCGTCACCCCCTGCACACACACGGTCGGCTCGTCGCCCCCTGCACACACACGGTCGGCTCTCATCACCCCCTGCACACGCACGGTCGGCTCGTCACCCCCTGCACACGCACGGTCGGCTCTCGTCACCCCCTGCACACACACGCTCACCTCTCGTCACCCCCTGCACACACACGGTCAGCTCTCGTCACCCCCTGCACACACACAGTTGGCTCGTCACCCCCTGCACACACACGGTCGGCTCTCGTCACCCCCTGCACACACACGCTCACCTCTCGTCACCCCCTGCACACACACGGTCGGCTCGTCACCCCCTGCACACACACGGTCGGCTCTCATCACCCCCTGCACACGCACGCTCTGCTCTCGTCACCCCCTGCACACGCACGCTCAGCTCTCATCACCCCCTGCACACGCACGGTCGGCTCTCGTCACCCCCTGCACACACACGCTCACCTCTCGTCACCCCCTGCACACACACGGTCGGCTCTCATCACCCCCTGCACACGCACGCTCACCTCTCGTCACCCCCTGCACACACACGGTCAGCTCTCGTCACCCCCTGCACACACACGGTCGGCTCGTCACCCCCTGCACACGCACGGTCGGCTCTTGTCACCCCCTGCACACGCACGGTCGGCTCTCGTCACCCCCTGCACACGCATGCTCACCTCTCGTCACCCCCTGCACACGCACGCTCACCTCTCGTCACCCCCTGCACATACACAAGCCCTGTCGTGCTCCTCGTAGCATGCACCCCGCCTCCGTCCACAGGGGCACCGCGCAGTGGTTCGGGGTCAGCGGCGACTGGGAGCTGGAGCGGCAGCACTGGCAGCGCCGGAGCCTGCACCACTGCAGCGTGCGCTACGGCCGCCTCAAGGCCTCGTGCCAGCGCGACCTGGAGCTCCCCAGCCAGGACGCGCCTTCCTTCCAGAGCACCGAGTCTCCAAAGCCCTGCAAGTTGCCCAAGGTGGGCTCCCGGGGGCCCAGGGGGCGGTGGGCGACTTCACCAGGGGTCTGTCAGCTCTGCTCACGGCCTCCCTCCCTTCCAGATCGTGGACCCGCTGGCCCGAGGCCGGGCGTTCCGCCACCCCGATGAGGTGGACCGGCCCCATGCCCCGCACCCACCGCTGACCCCGGGCGTTCTGTCCCTCACCTCCTTCACCAGCGTCCGCTCTGGCCACTCCCACCTGCCTCGCCGGAAGAGGAAGTCTGTGGCCCACATGAGTTTTCAAGCCGCCTCTGCCCTCTTCAAGGTGCCTCCCCGCCTCTGCCCAGCCCCTCTCCCGACAGCAGCCCCCAGGAGCTCGGTCAGGCCCTCCCTTCGTGTCCAGGGCAGAGGGGGCCTGCAGCCCGGGAGCCGGGCTTGCGTCCTAGCCCTGGCCATCCTGAGCCCCGGCCACCTCTGGTTTCTGCACCAACACAGAGGCTGGGAAAGAGGGAATTGAAACATACACTTGTCGCCCATGGTTACCGAGCCCACCATGTGTGCGGGGCCAGGGGGCTGCAATGAAAAGAGCCAGTCCCTGCCCTGGAAGAGCCCCGGTGCGGGTGAGGGCGATGTCGCCATCCCGTGTGAGGAGTGTGGGGCCTGCCCGGAGGCGGTGCTGACCCATATCACCCGGGACAGGGGCTACTGTCAGGGGCGGCACCTGAGCTGAGCCTAGAAAAATAAGGAAAAGTTTGCCAGGAAAGGGAGGAAGGGAACAGCCGCCTCCACAGAGGGAACGGCCTGTGCAAAGGCTTGGAGGTAGGAGGGGGCGTGGCCTTTGGGGAGCAGCAGGTGGGTCCATGTGGTTTTAGTTACAACGGCAGGAGATGGGGTCGGGAAGGTGGGCAGGGGCCTAGTGTGCCGTGCCCAGAAGCCAGGACTGGGGGGAGGTGGCCCGAGTCTTGGGAATAGGGTGCAGGGTGAGTGGTGGGGTGCCAGCTGCCCGAGCCAGAGGGCAGGAGGTGGCCGGGGAGAAGTCAGCCGCAAACCGTGGAGAAAAGGATGATGCATTCAGGGCTGTGGGAAGCTGGAGCCTCGTTCCTGGCCCTTCACCCTCTGGGCAGGGTTTCACCTCCCGAGGCACTGTCCCAGGAGGGTGGGCTTGATGATTCCTTTGGTGCCGGGGGCACCTGGCCTGGCCCTGATGCCCGTGCCTCTGCCCTGTGCACAGGGGCGCTCCGTGCTGGACGCTGCTGGCCAACGGTGCCAGGTGGTGAAACGCAGCTTCGTATACCCCAGCTTCCTGGAGGAGGATGTGGTCGATGGGGCAGACACATTTGACTCCTCGTTTTTTAGTAAGGCAAGCATGGGGTGTGGGCCCTTGGGGCAGGGGACAGGGTGGCCTGGCCCTGACCATTCCCTGCCAGGAGCCCCAAGGGATCCAAAGGCCCAATTGGTGGGATGGGGTGTGCCACCTAGTGGAGCTCCTGGGTCCCTGTCTTTGTCGGGCAGAGAAGGACCGAGGGGTGGGGCCAGATGCCAGCCAGGAAAGTCACTGTGGGGCCAACACTCACGAACCTTTCACTTCCCTCCCGAGGAGCCCGCCTGTCCTGCCCTTGAACTGGGTTGTTGGGGGGGGCAGTGTCAGGGACAATGACTCCTCACACTCTCTCTTTTGTGTCCCCCACTCCACCCCCCACCCCAGGAAGAAATGAGCTCCATGCCCGACGATGTGTTTGAGTCTCCCCCACTCTCCGCCAGCTGCTTCCGGGGCATTCCACGCTCGGCCTCGCCCGTCTCCCCGGACCGAGTGCAGGTCTCTCCGTAAGTCTGGGCAGTTCTCCTGCAGGAGGAGGCAGGTGGCCTGGGGGGGGCTCTCCAGAGCCCAGTGACCCTGAGGGGGTCCCCCGATCGTCAGTCTCTCCTGGGCTGTGTGAGGTGGACATCGGGCTGAGAGCCGCCATCCCCAGCAGGAAGGAGTATGGCCGCACCCCTGTGCCTGTGGCCAAGCGCGGCAAGCGCATTGCCTCCAAGGTGAAGCACTTTGCCTTTGACCGGCAGAAGCGACACTACGGCCTGGGCGTGGTGGGCAACTGGCTGAACCGCAGCTACCGCCGCAGCATCAGCAGCACGGTGCAGCGGCAGCTGGAGAGCTTCGACAGCCACCGGTGAGCGGGCGGGGCGCCTGGAGTGGCCTCGGGCACTCTGCGCCTTCTCCACCCTTCCCGCTTTCCACAGCATCGGAGAGCTGGCAGACTGAGCACCGAGAGAATGGAGCAGGGGGTGCTGGGTGGGTCAGAGGGACAGTTAGAAACTGACCATGAGTGAGGGGACAGTTGGGGAGGACACATACAAAGACCTTGGGGGAAGCCAGAGAATTGGGGAGGGGCAGATCTTGCAGAGTGGACCATTGGTAGTGACCCGATAGGCAGTAGGCCCCAAAGTAGAAAAAAGTAGTAACAGGTGTGGCGAGAGTCCTGAGGAGGACAGAGTGGGAATGAACAGCTGGGGCAGTGCTGTCAGGATGAGCAGCAGTGAGCTGGCTGAAGAGAAATGGGAAGAGCATCCCTGACAAGGGAAATGGCATGTGCAAAGGCCCTGTGGTTGCAAGGAACTGTGAGAGGAGAGGAAGGATGCTGGGGAGGTGGGCGGGCAGGCACAGCAGGGCCTTGCAGCCAGTGGGAGGGGTAGTATTAGACTATCCCAGAGGCAGGGGGAAGCCATCCAAGGGTTTCAAGCTGGGGGAGAGGCAGGTGCAGTAGAAGTGGAGGGCAGGGGCAGGTGAGAGCTGAGCATCGGGGTGCTGACCCAGGCTTCTGCCGCAGGCCTTACTTCACCTATTGGCTGACTTTCGTCCACATCATCATCACGCTGCTAGTGATCTGCACGTACGGCATCGCCCCCGTGGGCTTCGCCCAGCACGTCACCACCCAGCTGGTGAGTTGGGCTGCAGAAGTGGGGCTCCTGGCTCCCCCAGAGGCTTCAGCATCGTGGGCCGCCCAGTGCCTCCACAGCAACAACCTGGCCCAGGTGGGGGGGGGTGTGCTGGGTTCCCACTGCTTTGCCTCATCCCCTTCCTGGGGGCTCGACCTTGGCACGGAAGCCCCTGAGCCCTCCTTCCACCTCTGCACCAGGTGCTCAGGAACAAAGGCGTGTACGAGAGCGTGAAGTACCTCCAGCAGGAGAACTTCTGGATTGGCCCCAGCTCGGTGAGGTCCCCGGGACAGCATCTCCGCAGGGAGCCCTGGGCCCTTCTCCCCCAGCTAGGCAGGGGGGGGGTTGGCTGGCCTGGTACCACCCCCTCATCAGGGGACACTCACAGAGCAGCCAGGTCTGGGCCTGAGCTTACCGCCCCCCGCCCCCCAGATTGACCTGATCCACCTGGGAGCCAAGTTCTCGCCCTGCCTCCGGAAGGACCAGCAGATTGAGCAGCTGGTGTTGCGGGAGAGAGACCTCGAGCGGGACTCGGGCTGCTGCGTCCAGAATGACCACTCGGGCTGCATCCAGACCCAGCGGAAGGACTGCTCGGTGCGGCAGGGCTGCTGTCCAGCCTAGGCCCTGGCACCATGTCCACTTGCCCTGGCCAGGGTTGGGGGGACTGTTCAAGGGCAGCGACCATATTCCCCTCCCTCCCTCTGCTCTCCCTGGCCTCACGCATCCCTGTGCACCCCGGGCCTGCACACCCCTGCACACAGCCCAGCGCAGGGAGGACGCTGACCTCCCCAACCCAAGCAAGTGAAGGCTGGGTTTTGAGCTTGTCGCCCAGGGGTGAGGGTCTGAGATGGGCCTGAGCCCTGAGAAACGGGAAGAGCCCTTGTCCTGGAGGGTCCCCTGTCCACTTTGACGGGTGTGTCCCTGTTCTGGCATGACCAGCCCACCTCCATCCTCCAGGAGACTTTGGCTACGTTTGTCAAGTGGCAGGATGACACGGGGCCCTCCTTGGACAAACTTGATCTGGATCAGAAGCGGACGTCTAGGGCTGTGTGCCACCAGGACCCCAGGTATAGTCCCAGGGTGGCCCTTAGCAAGGCTGTCTGAGAGGATGGGGTTGAGGACCGCCTCTCTGCGGGTGGGTGTGAGAGACGGGGTGCCACCGCCCCTCACTGTGCCCCCTTCTGACCTCTGGCTCCAGAACCTGCGAGGAGCCGGCCTCCAGCGGTGCCCATATCTGGCCCGATGACATTACCAAGTGGCCAGTGAGTATCGGGGGCAGCGAGCGGTCTGGGAAGGATGGGGAGGGGCTCCTGCCACACAGGCCCACCCCGTTGGTGCCCCCACAGATCTGCACGGAGCAGGCCAAGAGCAACCGCACGGGCTTCCTGCACATGGACTGCCAGATCAAGGGCCGTCCCTGCTGTATCGGCACCAAGGGCAGGTGAGCAGCGGCGCTCTGCCCAGAGCTTCCTGAGCTGCTCCGCCCACACCAGGCGGGTGTCCTGGGGCCCCCGTGATGGGGCAGGACAAAGGGTGCTTTCCCCAGAGCCTGGGTCTCTGTGGAGGGGCACTGGCTCCAGGCCAGGTGGGCAGGGGTACTCAGGGCCCTGACACACCCCTGTCCCCCAGCTGTGAGATCACCACTCGGGAGTACTGTGAATTCATGCACGGCTATTTCCACGAAGAGGCGACCCTCTGCTCTCAGGTGAGGTGGGGCCTGGTGGGGCCCTGGGCATAAGAAATTGGGAATCGCCCTGGCTGGTTTGGCTCAGCAGTTAGAGCGTCGGCCTGCGGTCCAGAGAGACCCGGGTTCGGTTCCCGCTGAGGGCGCGTACCTGGGTTGCAGTTTGTCCCCGGCCCTGGTTGGTTGTGCGGATGGCAGCCAGTCGATGTGTCCCTTTCACGTCGATGTTTCTCTCTCTCTTCCTCTCTCCCTCCCGCTCTATCTGAACAAAAAATGGGAAAATGTCCTCAGGTGAGGATAAAGCCGGGAATGGAAGCGACTGGAGCTGGCCTCACAGGTGCCCTCCTGCAGGGGTTACGGGCTCTGCCCCACAGCAGGGCGCCCAGCCCAGCCAGGTCCGGGCGCTGACCCCGTGCACTCGCCCCCAGGTTCACTGCTTGGACGAGGTGTGCGGGCTGCTGCCCTTTCTCAACCCTGAGGTCCCAGATCAGTTCTACAGGCTCTGGCTGTCTCTGTTCCTCCACGCTGGGTAAGGCTCCTCGATGCCACGACCTGGACGCCCGGCGGAGGGGCTGCTGGGCCAGGGCGCAGCCAGCACAGCCCTCCGGCCCGTTGCTCCTGAGGTGCTGGCTGGTGGCGTGGGAAGGCTGACGTCTGTGTCCCCCACCCCAGCCTGGTGCACTGCTTCGTGTCGGTGGTCTTCCAAATGACCATCCTGCGGGACCTGGAGAAGCTGGCCGGCTGGCACCGCATCTCCATCATCTTCATCCTCAGCGGCATCACCGGCAATCTCGCCAGTGCCATCTTCCTCCCGTACCGGGCAGAGGTAGGGACTCGGGCGGGGCAGGAGGGTGGGGAGGGCCAGCTCTCACGCTCCCTGCTCGGAGCCCTGAGGGACGCATGGCCCCTCCTGTGCCAGGCTCAACAGCCGAGGGACGGCTCAGCTGAGGCTTATTGGCCAATCCTTTAATCCTGGGCTCAAGGGAGCCTGTCCCTGAGTCACGCTCAGATGGCACCTCCGGAAAGACCTTTCTGGATGCTGTCCCTCACTCCGTTCCTCCTCTCTGCTTCATTTCTTCATGACCCTGACCCCTGCCTGCCGGCCACCTGTCACATATCTGTAGGTGGAGCCATAGGAAATGGCCAGTTCTTGAGCCACGGAAATAGCAGTTTTTGATCCATTCACCCTAATTCTCTTGCCCTGCTCAGTGTCGGGCCCCTCCCCCGGAGCCCTGGGCACATAGCAGGTCTCCAGCTTTGGAGGGGGGTGGAAGCAGCCCAGCCTTGGGCCAGCAGCTCCAGCTGTCCGGGGCTCTGGGCGACACCCTGGGAGGGCTCCCTGCACACAGTGCCCGGAAGTGAGCCGCGCCCTCCCCGCCCGCGCAGGTGGGCCCGGCGGGGTCCCAGTTCGGCCTGCTCGCCTGTCTCTTCGTGGAGCTCTTCCAGAGCTGGCCGCTGCTGGAGCGGCCCTGGAAGGCCTTCCTGAACCTGTCGGCCATCGTGCTCTTCCTGTTCGCGTGCGGCCTGCTGCCCTGGATCGACAACATCGCCCACATCTTCGGCTTCCTCAGCGGGCTGCTGCTGGCCTTCGCCTTCCTGCCCTACATCACCTTCGGCACCAGCGACCAGTACCGCAAGCGCGCCCTGATCCTCGTGTCGCTGCTGGTGTTCGCCGGCCTCTTCGCCTCGCTGGTCATCTGGCTCTACGTCTACCCCATCCACTGGCCCTGGATCGAGTACCTCACCTGCTTCCCCTTCACCAGCCGCTTCTGCGAGAAGTACGAGCTGGACCAGGTGCTGCACTGACCAGCTGCCCGGCGAGGCTGCCACCCACAGCGCCACCGAGGGCAGGGACCGGGCCTGGGGTGGCCCCTGCCTGCAGAGCGCCCACCCGCACGCCAGAGACCCACCGACAGGCCCAGGCTCCGGTCCCTGGTGCAGAGCCGGTCATAAAGGCGGGTTCCTGGGGGACTGAGGTCCCCCTCCTCCTGTGTTCCTGGCCCTGGCTGGGGAGCACTCTGAGCACCTGCTTCTCTGCAGCTCAGGGTATAGGCCCCGACTTACCCTGCTGTCGGGACCACCACCTGGGAGCGGCTGTCTCTCTTCCCAAGGTCCTCAGGCTGCTGCATCTCCCTCCCCCACCACTACTGTGATTGTGTCCTCACTGGGACATGGCCAGGTCCCACCAGTCCCACCCCTGCCTCACCACGGCCCCTCCCGGTTCCCCTCCCCTCTCTGCCCTACCAGCCCGTTCATCAGAGGCCTGCCGAGTCTGCCCAGAGGACCAGACGTAGTGGGAGAGGCTCTGGCCATGGACGGGCCGAGAAGCAGCTTGGAGACAGACTGGGAAGCCAAGCAGAGGCCGCCCTCCACTCCCCCGCCTGCCCAGTGTTCTGCCTCGGGGGGTGGCTTTGACAGCAGCTGGCTCCACCACCCGGCACCCTGAGGACCTGCTCCCCGGGGCTGCCCCCCAAGGCTGTCAGGCCCGTTTTTTACTGGTTTATATTACGGTCCTAATTTTTAAAAGTAACGCTAACTTTGTGTGGATGATGTCTCAAATGTATTAAATGATATTCTTCAGGGAATACCATCTTTTGACCCGAGGCCTCAGGAGGAACGAAAACTGGAACCTTATTTTGGGGGTGGGAGGTCAGCCGGGCGGACTCGGGGGCAGGGCCTTGGCAGAGAAGGACAGTGGAACTTTTGTGGGACCTCCGGGGATTTGGTTGGAACAGAAACCAGGTTGGGGTCCCTTGCGGGGTTGGTGTTCAATTCCTAGACCTCTGGCATCCCTCAGTCCCACCTGCTTGTAGGGCAATGAGGGGGGTGCCTGGACCACTCCATCCACTGTACCTGTGCCTGACCCAAGCCTTCCCCCGACGGGAGCCACCAGGAGGTGATGGTCCCAACCCCTTGATTACTGTGGGCAGAGGACCCAGCCCCTGCTCCCAGCTGTCTCGCCACCCCACCCCCATTCCAGGGCTAAGAGAAGGGACATCCCTGGGACTGGGGAGAACAAGGGGCCCCACTGGCCCCTGAGACTGGGGGGCTGAGGCAGGGCTGCCTCTGTCCCCAGCTGCCACCCCATCTTGGGCACAGTTTGGAGTGCAGGAGGGCCAGAGGGTCTCGTGGAGACAGACTGCAGGGCGCATCACTGGTGTTCCAGCCGGGAGAACTGGCCTGTTCTCTTTATTTCACCCCTCCCCTGCCTGGGAATCACAGCCTCTGCAGAGCTCGGGAGGCCAGGGCAGGGGGTTGGGGCTGGAGAGGAGCCCCAGCCCGCCTCCCCGCCTGCCACTGGGCCCTGGGCAGCCAGCTCAGCAGCTGTGCCGCCTCATGGAGGTGTGGCCCTGCAGGAAGCACTGGAGCTCTGTGAAGGACAGCAGGCCCACAGTGACCGCGCAGGGGCCCACTGGGTGGAAGCCGAGCTTCTCGTAGAAGGGCACCAGACGGTCCTCGCACATGAGCACGGCCCGGCGCACAGCTGGCTGGCCGCTCAGGTGGTACAGGTACCGCCACAGCAGGACGGAGCCTTTGCCCTGCTGCCGGAAGGAGCGGTGCACGGCCAGCACGTGCAGATGGGCCGTGTGGCCCCCGGGCCGGTGCTGCATCAGTGACTCCTGCGGGCAAGAGACAGGCTTGGGTCCCAGTCACCTCTGTTGACACCGTCCCCCTCCCGGGGCCAAGAGCTGGTGTCCCCTGAGTGCCTCCAGTCCGGGCTCTCTCCCACCCAAGCCTCGTGGCAGACCCTTCATGAGCGCTTTTGAGACCCCAAAGATCTGGGGCCTCTTGCCCTGGAAGAGAGCCCGTGGCCTGGGCTCAGGTGTCTGGTCTGGAGGAAGAAATCCCAGTTCCGGGCCCCCCGCCCTCATCGGGCTAGCTGCGTGGGAGGAGCCGGGGCCAGGGGTGGTGGGCTCTCCCTGAGGCCTTCCAAGGGCTGGGCACGGCAGCCCGCCTGTCCTGCCCTCACCTGAGTGAGTCTCTCCTCGTCCCAAAGTGAGCCGATGATGAAGGCCACCAGGCGTCCCTCCTGGAACCAGCCCAGGGACAGCTCTGGACACAGGGTGAGGAAGTGCCGGATCTCGTCCAGGTTCAGGGGGCACATGCCCGAGACAGAGACGAAGGCTGCGGCAGGAGGCACAGGTGGGTGGCTCGGGTCCGCATGCCCCATGTCCGCCCCCTCCCGCCCCTACAGGGAAGCGGGGTTCCGACCACCACACACGCACACAGAGACACCCGGTCTGAGCAAGGAGGCCAGGACACACGAGGGTCGTCTCCCCACAGGGCAGCGGCCGTCTGCGCCGCGGCCCCCGGCCCCGCGTGGGCTGCTCACCTTCACGCTCGATCTCGAACACGCCGGCGGCATCCTCAGGTGTAAGGCAGCGAAACTCACTGGCAGGGAGGGTGTGGCGCCGCTGAGCCCAGGAGCCCTGGCACCCCGGGTGGCGGGCGCAGGGCCACAGGCGGCAGGTAGTGAACACTCTGCATGGACGCGCCGGCCCCACTTCTGGGCGCTCAGAACCTGTTGGGGAGGACTGAGGGGCAGGGTCCGGTCCTCTTCTCCAAAAGGGACAGGCCAGAGTGCCGCTGGGTCTCACCTCTTGTAGCTGGGCCTGGGGTGGTGCCAGCCCCAAAGTGATGAGCACACGCCCCAGGGCTGCTCTGGGGACTAAACACTGGTGCTCTCTCCCCACCAGTTCCTCTCAGCCAGAAGGATCTGCGGAGCTGCCCTGCTCACCCTTCAGGTTCTAGGTCGGAGCCCCAGGGGAGTGGGGGGTGGGCTGGGTTCACTGGAGCCCAGGGCACCACAACACTGTTGCCCAAGAGAGGAGGGCGTATGAGCCTCCACTGACCACTTCTAATGCAACAACTGAGGGGTGGATGGGGTGGTGGTTCTTACCTGCCCGGGGGAAGACTTTCTGGTCCCTCAGGCGCGAGATGGTGTGGTCCAGAGCTTTCCAGGTAGTCTCAGCCCTCGGCCCTGGAGAGAAACACCCTCCATCAAAGTGGGTCCTCGGGGAGCCCTACGTTTACCCACGTGGCCTCAGACTGGGCCATGTGCACACAGGGAGGGGGTGGGGAGGTGGGGGGTTCTGGGGGTATGGGAAGGAGCCAGCATGGATGGCATACCAGATACCCCTTGCTTCTACCCTGGCTCACTTTGCGTTTCTCCCATGACACCCTGCAGGTGTAAAATTCTTTTTAAAATATGTTTTAATTGATATTTTAAAGAGAGAGAAACATCAATGTGAGAGAGAAGCATTGCTCGGTTGCCTCCTGCACGTGCCCTACTGGGGACCAGGCCCGCGACCTGGGCATGTGCCCTGACCAGGAATCGAACCGGTGACCTCTTGGTGCAGAGTCGACGCTCAACCACTGAGCCACACCAGCCAGGCATGGTGTACAATTCTCTGAAAAAAAATTTTTTTTTATCCTCACTCGAGGACATTTTTGTATTCACCTTCAGATAGAGCAGGAGGGGGAGAAGATGAGAGAGAGAAACATTGACGTGAGAGAGACACATCAAGTGGTCACCACTCACATAACTCCAACTGGGGCCGGGGACAAACTGCAACCAAGGCACGTGCCCTTAGCGAGAACCGAACCTCGGACTCTCAGCTCTAACCGCTGAGCCAAACCGGCCAGGGCCATGGTGTACAATTCTTAAAGGAGGCCAACCCCCCCTTAAAAAGACCCATGGCTTCCAATTTGCCCTTCCTCCTCTACCTCTTCTCAGCATGTCTTGAAGCCCCAAGCAGGATACTCTGCTCCTATTCCTGAAGGCTAGGGGCAGGGGTGCCACTTACCAGACCAAAGGCCCCCACATTCCCACCGCAGAGCCGGTCACCCTGAGTGCGGTCCGCAGGCACAGGAACCAGGAAAACCCTAGATTCTGGGTGCACCGCTGTGGTAGCAGGTGTGGCCTGGCGCCATATGATGTCCTCAGAGATTTCTAATCCCCCCAATCCCTCCTCCAAGTGACACCGGGCAGGAGGAAGCAGTCTTAATCCACGGGACAGCTCGGCCCAGTGAGTATTAACCCCATTTTACAGAGCTCAGATTAAATAACATCTTACAGAGCTCAGTGAGACGGACTGGCCAGCCCGGCCTGCCTCCCCACACACGCCGTTCCCACCTGAGCCGCTGGGTCCAGCGCTTTCCCGAATGGCCGGTTCACGGTCCGTGGCTCTCCTGCTGGTCATCGGACAGTGTCCCCACATCAGAGTCCGCCAGAGCGAAGGGAGGAAATCCCGTACCTGGCTCCGGATGTGCAGGCGAGCTGAGGAGCCTGAAGAGGCAGGTGGGGCTTGTTGGTGTCCTGGTGGGATCACGAAAGAGAAGAACGGATCAGATGCAGTAATTAAACTGGGCATTAGCAGAGGGCTCGGCACTCTCAATGCTGAGCCCCGAGCCAGTGTTCTGCAGCATATTTACTGAGTGAAGTTACAATGCACGCATTCAACAAATCGTTAAAGAAGTTAAAAACATTTTCGATAACAATCCCTCCAGGACTCCCTGTTCTATTCATAACTCAACCATTTATATGAAGAATAGCAGTTCCTGGGGCCGGGCACACCTCCTGTCCTCGGTGGTTTGCCTTCAAGGAGTCTGTGGGCTCGTGTGCAGCTCTGGCCGGCCCAGGTGTCGGCCCAGGTGTCGGCCCAGGTGTCGGCCCAGGTGTCGGCCCTGCCCTTATCAAGGGACTCCTCCACTCTCTGTTCTTGTTTGCCATGAGTTGCATGACTCGGTGAGCAAACCAGGTCCTGTCCTGAGTTCACATTTCCCCCTTTTTGTTCATGCTGTCATTTATGAAGCCGAAGCGTGAATATGGCAGTTTTTTGATTCGTGGCTTGACTTCGTCCACTCCCTCAGCGCCAGACTAGATAGAATAGAAAAGCAAAAATCAGCAATATAATCAATATCAAACCAGACGTACTGCCAAACATCTTAAACTGTTTCAAAAGATTCCGATCACTTAGCCTATCTGCGATACTGGCTAATAATTCATCACCACTAATTATCTGCAATTGTTTTTCAAAAGTATTACTTACGTATCTCTGTAAATCTAAAATTTCTGCCGTAACATTTCCATGATTTAACAAATGCTTTCTTACACTTTCCCCAAGGAGAATGTGTTTGATTCCAGGGAATAGGAGTTACACAGATAGAAGAAGTATTCCAATCACATTTTAAAGTTACTTGTCTTGTCCTGGCCGGTTTTGCTCAGTGGTTAGAGCATTGGCCTGCGGTCCGGAGAGACCCGGGTTCGGCTCCCGCTAAGGGCACGTACCTCGGTTGCAGTTTGTCCCCGGCCCTGGTTGGTCGTGTGGGTGGCAGCCACTCGATGTATCCCTTCACGTCGATGTTCCCCTCCCCCCCCTTCCTCTCTCCCCCTCCCACTCTATCTGGACAAAAAATGGAAAAATGTGCTCGGGTGAGGATAAAAAAAAAAGTTACTTGTCTTTGCAAACTAACAATTTGATCCCCTAACATAACAATAGCTTGTTCTAAATGACTTATTCTAGTATTCAGTTCAGTATCAATTTGTCTTTGAGATGTCCATAATTCTTCTGAATGTTTATGCCAATCCTGGATATAGTCCACAGTGTGCACACTTTGATGTACAGCCACCTGCTACAGCACAGTGCAGGCACGGCCATCAGCCCCATGGTTACAGCAGTGATTAGTCCGATCCTCCTTTTCGTCCTTTTCGTCACGGACTTTATCATTTGCTGCAGGATCATCATAGCGGGAGAGTCTTGCCGTTCTCGGTTCAGCTTCACAGGAATCCACACCCCTGTGCGAGCCTTAAGGATGTGAATATCATCTCGGCTTTTATTAAATGGAACGTGTATAAAATGAGCGATTCAGGACAGAGAATAATGTTCTTTGTGCCAGCGAGTTTGCGCAATCATTAGGACACGAGGCAGCCGCACACATGCAGAGATGTAATGGGTCTGATTCTTATCAAAGCTTAATTGAGTACGATTATTACTTTCATTTCTCCAGATTTGTCCTGTCTGGGCAGCTAAGTATTTTAGAGCTGGAGCTATTTTCCAGATATGTGGTTGTCTAGGGCCATACGGTAAATGAGGAGTTTGAGGTGTCACACCTCCTCCGTGCCACACAACACTCCAGTTTCCCTCAGTGGTCACGGTGTCCATTTTTGTCCATTTTTTGCTCAGATAGGGTTGGGGGGAGAGAGAAACATTGACGTGAAAGGGACACATCGAGTGGCTGCCACCCACACGACCCCAACCAGGACCAGGGACAAACTGCAATCGAGGTACGTGCCCTTAGCGGGAACCGAACCCGGGTGTCTCTGGACCGCAGGCCGAGGCTCTAACTGCTGAGCCAAACTGGCCAGGGCTAGTATTATTCTTTACTATAGACGTCCATGCTTGAGCCTGCATTTTCAAACAATGATCACCATGTCCAATACAAACGGGAATTCCCTGAATCCCTACGGTATCATTTCCTATCTTAGTCCCTTCTTCTGCAGGCACTAAAGGCCTCCTAACATCATAAGGTCTTGGCAACCAATTGGAGTCATTTACAAATACTGGCACAGGACTACCTAGCCAGTGTATTCCTCAGTCTAAAGGTGGATTGGGCCCTGGCCAGTTTGGCTCAGCGGTTAGAGCGTCGGCCTGCGGTCCGGAGAGACCCGGGTTCGGTTCCCGCTAAGGGCACGTACTTCGGTTGCAGTTTGTCCCTGGCCCTGGTTGGTCGTGCGGGTGGCAGCCACTCGATGTGTCCCTTCATGTCGATGTTTCTCTCTCTCTCTCCCTTCCTCTCTCTCCCTCCCACTCTATCTGTACAAAAAATGGAAAAAATATCCTCGGGTGAGGATAAAAAAAAAATAATAAAAAATAAAGGTGGATTGGGAATGTATGCCCAACAGGTATAATTACCTGTCACAATACCTACCTGGGTGGTTATCAAGGCAATCATGGCCAACGTCAAATTTACTGGAGTTCTGGGGTCAAATTTACTGGAGTTCTGGGGTCAAATTTACTGCAGTTCTGGGGTCAAATTTACTGGAGTTCTGGGGTCAAATTTACTGGAGTTCTGGGGTCAAATTTACTGCAGTTCTGGGTTGCCCTGTCTGATGAACCAGTCGTTCTTCATTCATTAATTTTTTCATCTGCCCCCAGGTCAGAACTGCTGCCTTTTGGCCTGAGCTAACGGCACTCTCACTGATGGTTTATTTAAAGACTTTGCCTGCATTTCATCAATCGGAGGGTCGAGGTCGAACCGACCCTGCTTACTCATTCTCTGGGCTTATTTCGTGGGGCAGGAACCCACCCTGTCCGTCCATTCTCTGAAATTATACGAGCAGAACCTCGACCCCAGCGTTGTATAGATCCAGGTTCCCACTCATCCACGTCATTTTTATAATAAACAGGCTGAGTTCATGCTGGTGGGCTTTCTCTTATCCAGTGTCTTTCAGCTGCTAAATGGCCATCTCCAATATTTAAAAAACGAAGAGTAAATAATGCTTTCTGTACTACACTTCTTGGGGAATACCTCTCATTTCCCCCCTTTTGT